CCTATTAGAGTATCTTGGTGTAGAATAGATGATTCCCTAAAAACAATTTGTGCATATATGCATGTGCATCTGTCTTCTTTAATCCACCTGGGCTTGCCATCATCATTTCTCTTAACAAACATAACTATAGTTTGTGTGTTTTTATTGTATTTGTATATTGTAGTTTTGCCTCATTAAACTATATGTCAGATGAGTAATAGGGGAAAGACACTGAGGCACTGAAACATTAAAGCTAACATATCTAGAGGGTACTTAGTATCAGACAGTGCTCTCTGGATTTAAAGATCCTGACTCTGCAAAAGCACATGTGTAGGGATGTTTTGAAAAATTATGGTTTCATTGAGACATAAATTGCATAATTTTCAGTGCTCTGTGCCTAACCTGAGCTACATATCACTTCTCCCTTTGGAAAATTTTGTGTGTAGCTCAATCGAAAGTACAAAGAGTTCATTTTGGGGTGGTGGTTTAAGCTCTGTTATCCAAAGGTAGCTCCAATCCTCTTATTCCTTGCTGGGGCTGCGGGATGGGCAGGGCAGGAAGGAAACACCTATTTCTATCAAACTGTGTGTTTCTCAAAGATATAACTCTCCTTTTCTATTGGTATGGCCAAGAAGGCTCGACCTTGGGTGACACAGACCAGGAGGATGGAAGGTTGTTTGGTTTGCTGGAGAGGTTTTGTAGGGTTTGGTATGTTGTTTGTATGTCTTTGCTTTTTTGCAGGCTAGTAGAGAAACAGTGCTTTGTCTGCAAACACGTCTCAAAGGAGAGTCTTCATCCTTGTATTCAGTATAAACTAAGACATTTCTCATGCCGTAGTTCTTTACCTTTGTGCTTGCCACAAGTGGGTTTTGCTTTGTGCTTCAAGCTAAAGCCTTTTGATAGTGATTCTTTTTGTTGTTCCTCCCTAAATATCAGGTGTCATTAGCAGAGATGTGAAAAATGAGCAAGTGTTCTAAAGCCAAATGCTGTGGAAAAGCAGAGCACACAATGAGCATGGAATCTGGATTCTTATGCCATCCACAGAACAGAGCTTTTAGGTCAGCATAGACTGTTTTTTCGCTACCATCTTTTGTACCCAAGGATGCTGATACAATACCCTTTCATGAACAGCAGACTTGTACATTATGCTGTAAAAGAAAAGAAAATACAGGGTGTTCTTTTGTCACCAAAAACTTTTATTTGTATATTTGCATCTTCTACTCATCCTACTCATGAATTTGTGTGTGCTTTCAGAAGACTAATTTTAAGAACAGAAGGCTTAATGCATGCAAGAAATTCTCTAGGATTTTGGCTCATGAAATCTGTATTTTGGAGGTGACTACCATTTCAAGCTCCAGCCAGCAGTGTGTGTGTAGCTTTGATAGTCTCTTACTTAACAAATATTTAATGTACTACTAATGACTGCAGGTACTGCAAAAAGATTGTCTTTGGCATTTAGCTGCTTCTGATGTTTTGGGGGTTTTTTTGGTTGTTTTTTTTTTCGTGTATTTAGAGCAGATTCCAGTTTGCATATGAGTAACATCATGTCAGTCCTAGTTCTTTCGTTCTGACATCTCTTTTGGCTCCCGGTGCGATTTGGCCTGCTTTTTCAAAATGTTGGTCCTGAGTCCAAATGTAACTTTGTGGGTGGTACATATGTCAAGCCCTAGTTCAGTTTTTTTGGACAGCAGCACCATTTCATAATTCTTCTGAAACGAAAAGAAGAAATGAAGTTAACTGAAAGAAATGCAGCTAGATTTAGCTGGGCAAAAGCTTGCCTTTTTTGCTCCCCCCTCTCTACTGCTCTGTTTTTCCATTTGGAGAAGTAGAGATTTACGTGGCAGAAGTACTGACAGGATTAGGGTAACTCAGAGCAGCAAGCAGTAGCGTGGCCTTGTCTTCATAACCTGTCTTCTCATGCCCTGGTAGCTGTTGAATCCTTCTGGGATGCAGATGAGGGAGATGAGGAGTGTGGAGAATCGGAACCCTGCATTTGTGTTTGTTAAAACAGCAAGGTAGACTGAATTATGAAGATGTCTGAACAAGGCTGCATTGGTATTAAAAAAAGCCAAACAACCCCCTCAGGTTCTCCATATGTCTGTGTTTGATATACTGATTGCCATATTATATCTTTATGTACAGCATACTCTCTAAAGAGCACAGGAAGGTATAAATGCAACTTTACTTCATAAAGTCAAGTGAAATAGTCCAGAGGGTTGTAGCTTGTGTGAAATAAACACATGTACAAAGTACAGGAGGTTTCACATGGCATAAATCACCAGGAACTTCATAGCTTCCTTCCTTCCTTCTTCCCTGCGCAGTTGCAGAGCTGCTAGCTGAAAAGCTGTCCTTCATCATTCTTTTGCAGGAAACCACAAGCTCATATATTATTAATTCTTATTCACTAGTAGTGCAGGACGTAGGTGCTTTTCTTGAGTGTCTCAGATTGCTTTTCAGTGTATCCATGCCAGCTCTACTGCTGCGGTCACCATTCTTATGCGTTTCTCAAAGATTGATAATTTTTCAGGCAATAGCAAAATCGATGCAGAAAAAAGAAAAGTGTGAGATGAATCTTGACACCCAAGTTCTGAGTCCAAGAGGTGATTTGCTGTGAGAAACCACAAAACAAATCACTTTTGGCCTAGGGCTCTTCCCTGATTGAATGTCATATCTTCAGGAGGTCATAAGCTAGTCAGATGCCCTTCCTAATCTCCTTATGAAACAAGTAGGCTTCCGCCTTTGCAACATAGCCTCAGCCAACATCCTTGCACTATTGTCACAGTGAAAGATGGTCTTTATGGTGAGTCCTTAAGAACTGATAGATTCAGTAATGGAGACCATTCTTTTGAAGAACACTGGCTTAGATGATAATTTTTTCCCCTCCACCTCTCTTTCCTTTTTCCCTTTCTTCCTAATCCACAGTTGGTGTGAGATGCTGAAAAGCAAATCAAAGAGAGAGGAGAAAGTGGTATGAAAAGTCAGTCCCTATTTTGTCTACTTACAAGATAATGTGGAGTGGGAGCTTCAGTCTTCAGTATTTTTAGTTATCTTCCAAATAATGTTACTTGTAGGTAAAGAATGAATTTTCTTATTCCTTTAAAAAAGGAGGTTACAAGTAGTGAAGTCATGTCAAGTTATTCATGTTTGCTATTTGTAACAAATATGTCTAGCAACTTAAAAATCCAACAGGAATTGCTGGGCTTGTGGTTTGCATTAGTCATTTGACTCCAATGACTAGTATGGACTCAGCTGACACACCATTTGTCTTGGTGTTGGAGCCCAACTGCTTCTGTGCAAAGGAATGAGAAGGATTCCGACTTCTTCTCAAGGAGGTTTTCCCAATGCTTCCAGCATTGTAGGCCCAGCTGGAAGCTGTGGGATGTGTTCGTGAGCAGCCAGGCAGTGAATAGAGCTGTGGTAAAATTTTCCTCTTTGTTCAAACCAGGATACCCAAGTTGGTGAGTGAGGCACAGTTCTGATTTATTGCCTGCTGGATGTAAAGAAAGGAACAGGAGCAAAGTCCATGACTGACTGACTCATCCTTCCCAAGAAAATGCCATTCCAAGTTTTGAATGTCAGTAAAATTTTATTATACTGGCTATGAGTACTGATTTGTGCTATTTAAATGTTTTTTCCATAGTATCACTTAAGATGCCCAGGTATCCAAGGTATTCTTGACTACTGAGCTTCCCATGAAGTGCCTACTGTGTTTTGCAAACCCTACCTGGTTCCGTTTAGTGATATCTTGTAGCGTGGGTGTGAAGACTTCCACTGCTGTTTCTTCTTTTAGTTTTGGTTTATTTTTGTTTTTTTTCTACCCTACTGCCCAAATCCCAAAAAGGACCAAACCTGAGATTACTAGAAAACCATTGGTGGGCCTTAAATATCTACACTGCTTCTTCAAGTCCGAGGCTTGCTTGTGTGCTACAATATGCATAGCTATGTAAAACAGCACTATTGATCCCAGATCTATGCCATACTTTATTGAAGCAGGGGGCAGTTCAATTACAGTTTAGGACCTCACCCTTAATTTTTAATTTCCTGCCGATTTGTGTCACATTGCTTAAATTGAATCTATCTCCCTCAGGCTCAAGCAGCCAGCCCCTCTTCAGAGCCACACAGCAGGGGCTGGTGGGGGCTGGCAGGGCCCTGCTGTGGTCCTCTCCCTTCTGCTTCATTGAGGAGTGCTGACTTGTGCTTTCAATGATGGTTTTGGTATCACTCCAAGGATTGAGGCAGGCATAGAATGGAGGAAGGACAACATGCAGGAAATAATCTGGGGAGGGTCAATTTTGTAGCGCAAAAAGAAGCATGTCCCTATGGAAAGCTGTGGGGTGACGTACCTTGATCACAGAGTCTGAGCAGAATCAGAGCATGAACGTTTACTTCCCATGTCCATTGGTAAAGTGCTGCAAAATATAAAATTTCTGGCAACCTTGAATGTTGTAGTCAAGGTCAAATAAGCACTAAATAGCCTTTTAAAACTCTTCGGCGTGTGAATGCTGCTTGGTTTAAGCAATCTTGAAAGGTGAGAACATTATTGGAGAGCTGTTTCACACCGTGACCACGTATGCACTCAGTTGTTGCTCATCATTCCGTGTTAACTGTGTGCATCTAGTCATTTCTTGGCTTTTTGTTGGCTAATATTTTCTAATGGCACTGTATTATGGTATAGCTGTTGCCATAGCCAACAATATCTTACCTGATAAGGATGCTGTACCAGTCTACCTCTTTCTCCTTGCAGGCAAGAGGAGCAGGTTGGTGTACTATGTCCTTCTTTGTGATCACTTTTTCTTTGGAGAAATTGAATAAATCTTCATTAAAAAATAATAATAATAATAATCTTTCCAGAGGAAAAGGAAAGTATATCTTGGATAAAAAACAGAGTCCCTAGAAAAATAATGATTCAAAAGGGAAAAAAAAAAAAAAGAAAAGCAATGAAGAAATCACAGCTGTTTGTTTCAGGGCGCTGGGTCACTAATTGAGTGCAAGCTTTATAAATGCTGTTTGTCCCCCCACAGGGCATACAAAACCATTGAGGAAGATGACTTGAAGTTTCCCCTTATCTATGGAGAAGGCAAGAAGGTGGGCACATGCGCTTTCCTCGGGGCAAAGAAGAAGGAATTCTGTGCTGTTTACCACTCAGCTTAGCCTATGGCAGTCCAATGTTTTCCACTCAGTATCTCTTTATTTTATCGCTTTGACAGCTTGAGAGAATATCTTGGTTCTGTCATAAATCAGTCTCGTGTCTAGGATGGAGGAAAAAGAAGAGCTCGACATTAAAAAGCAGTTCTGTAGCAAGCATAGTCATTTGTTGTTCAGTTTGATTTAGTTTTTGTTCCATTGTAAATAACCAGGCTGCAGTAAGACCTGTTCAGTAAATGACTTTAAATGATCCTGGTTTGATTGTAAGATATATAAAACTAGTCTGGATGAAGACAGCAAAATAGCTCTTGTTTGCTGAAAACAAAGCAGGGAGTTCTTTAATAACAATGTACAGTGCTTTGAGATGTAAAAAACCTAATTAAGAAGAAAAGGGATCAGGGCAGGATTTAGGAATTATAACAGCCCTTAACCACATCTTCTGCTGCTGTATGTGAACTCACCTTTGAATTTTTCTGATGTGATTCCTGTTAATTTTTCTTGAAAGGAAAAAGTGAACCCTTCCATTTGGATGAAATTTGTTTCCAATTCCTTGATTAAGAACAGTGAGATCATTAGTGCTGATTCCAGCAAGCTTAGCTGGATGCAGCAATTGGATCAATATAAGGGCGCAGTGGTGTCAGTTTGCCGATATTGCTATGCTCACTGTGTTTCTAAATAGTGCTCCTCTTTATAGCTGCTTTAGGTTCTTATCTCAATGCAGAAATGCATGCTGTTCAAAATTAGCCCAAGTTTTGAAGGTTCAGACCTGCAGCTTATCTCTGAATTTGGTTAGTTTTATAATTATTTGCAAAATGTTTCATTCACATCTTTTTAATTTACTCTCTTATTGCCTTATGGAGCCAGGGGTGAATGAGACAAAATAATTTTGAGTCAGTCTCGCACTGTTACTGTTGCTGTGAGCATTCCTGCTCAGAAGCTGTTGTGGCAAAGCCAGAATTTGACAGAAGTGAGGTGCAGGTAGCAGAGAGCTAGGTTCCCCATGAGACAGAATGCCTGGTCTGTCCCTGGAGAAGCATTACTCAAGAAGAGCCTGGCACCTCTTGAGAAACAGTCACTGTCTCAAGAGGAAGATGTTTAAGGAAAAAAGCATTAGAACTGAAGTAATAGCAGAGAGCCACAGAGTCCATTGGCACCACCACCGGTGTGGTCTTGCAGTTCTTGTGCTCTGTGTATTCAGCAGCTGGCCCTTGGCATTTTTCCTTGGTAGAGAGAATATGTGGCACTATGTCAAAAGGAGGGAGCCTCAGGTTTCTTAAGTGAGTAATTAGGCTCCTTGTCCTTTTTACAGTACTTACTTACTTTGTACAAATAGTATAATTTGCTGAAGGAGTGCTCTCACTGACTGATATGGAACAGCCAGGTGACTGTCACATATCGGTTCTATATAGTTTCACACCTCACAGGTGGTCATACTCTAAGGTGAACGTGTGCAGACTGAAATGTGGACAAATACAAAATAAGAAATGGAGATACTGTGAGTGTGAATGTTAGAAGTTGATTAGCTATGTTAAATCTTAAGCTCCTGGGAGAATAAGGGAAATTCATCCCTGACTGCAGCAGTTATAGAGTATCAGAAAATCATTAAGATTGGAAAGGACCTCTAAGATCATGTAGTCCAACTGTCAAGTAGGAATGTTGTCTCTTTCCATCTTGGCACAGTGCTTGTAACAGCTTTTGACCCCATCTCTTTATTTCTAGGCTCGGGTTATGGCAACAATTGGCGTGACTCGAGGACTGGGAGACCACGACCTGAAGGTTCACGACTCCAATATCTACATCAAACCTTTCCTATCCTCATCTCCTGAGGTAAAACTGCCAAGCTTCAATGACCTCATCTGTGGAAGAGAAGCAAATGCACTTACTGTGCTTATTTGTTCTTCCCAACTCTGACTCCATTCTGATTGCGGTTCAATCCTGGTAACATGCTGCACTTCCCAAAGGTGTTTGTGGGGTGACACCTGAAGTTAGTAACATCCTTGGAATAGGAATGTTATGAATTCCCCAGCTGTTTGCCTTCCTCCAATTGATCCTTATCCCAGCCAGAGCATTGACATATTCTTTCCCTTGTCGTTGGCTATCATATATCCTCACCATTCACTGTGACCATCTCTCCCCATTTTCATGTGCTCTGACTTCCTTTGAGGCCTGGATCATGTCTTCACAGAAGCAGAGATAAACCTGCCTTCTCCAAAAGGGGGCATTGGATGTCTTCCGCAGTAGCATGCATGCTGCTTTAGGCAGAGTGTACCAATCTAACTGCTAAGTAGGAAAATGCCAGAAGCATGTTGGAAGAGTGCTTTATGCTTCCATCTGGCTGCCTCTTCACATCTTGTGCTTAATCCTTTCTGCTGGTTTTGTGCAAACCCCAAATAATAGTATACATGGCTCTGCGCATTCCCAGATGATAGCATAAGGAGGAGATTATGTGATATTTACTATGATGAGGTAGTGAACTTGCAACTTACCTGTTTGGGAATCAGCTTTAAATGCTTCCATCATTTTGACTTGCAAACAAGTCCAGTTTTTAATCACCATAGACCTTGCAGTGAAAGATATACAGGCTTCTAAAGGAGGTTGCATGTTTTTTTTGCCCATGAAGAAACATGCAAACTTTTTACTCTGTGGTTTTATTTGTCTTCCTACATCAGAGAACAGATGACATATTCTCTATAAAATATTCAGCAAGGGCATGCCATCCTGAAAAGAGGAGGCTTTACTGCTGTAGCCCAATTGCCATCCATTGTCAGCTGGCTTTCTGTTGTTTTAACCATACCCAGTACCTGACCTTGAATCTGTTGCTTGCTACAGCAATAAATAAAGCACATTGTGACCTACTGTAGGGTAGCTGCTTTAGCAGGGGAGTCAGACTCAATGATCTCTTGAGGTCCCTTCCAGCCCCTGCAATTCTGTGGTTCTGTAATGCAAGAGAATGAAAATACACAGATGACACAACACTGTTAGGAAGGAAGAAAATGACTTAATTGACCTTGCTTATAACATGTTTGAGACTTGAAAATTAGAAAGAAATGCTGAGACTTTCTGGTCCTGGGTAAAAGGAGGAGGTCCAGAGACAGCCCCTTCTTCACTTTTCCTTGCTATCAATCTAGTCCCTTCCCTCTCCCCACTTCAAGTGTGTGGAGTCCATCACTTGGGACCTGCTGCTGTTCTCTGCCAGGCAGGCAGCAGCTCTGCCCTCATCACTTCGATGGTTTTGCTTAGCGCCAGTGAAATGATGCAATTTTACCTATTTATTTTTCTGCCTGGCATGCTGAGACGCACTGTTTCTGGGGTATGTAATAGCTGCAGCGCAGTATCTCAGCAGTATCATCTCTGCCAATTGCTGCTGTTGTATTTGTCTGTGCATATAAACCAATGCTTCTCATGGGCTTTTCTAATTTGTGTGTACTGTGTGTGTGTGCACGTGTTCAAATTCTGGAGTATGGCATTCAGTTCCTATGCTATCCACGTTTCAGGATCTCTTAACTGCATTACTTAAGGGAAGCAAAATTGTTTGTGTTTCCATGTTCCCTTTTCAGCTAAATTCAGCAGAAATCTACTAGGGCAGCAGAGTAAAGACAGAGCACCAGTGACCTTGATTTAGAGACATAGGAAAGGAGGAAAGAAAAAAGAACTAACCACACAACTTGAATTATATTAGGAAGTAACATATGCTCTGACTTGCTTGCCTCTGAGCCTCTTTTTTTTTTGCCATCTCTTCTTTCTCTTCCCAGAGAGGCCCCCAGTACTTCATCTCCTCACATTTTTCTTCATTTTCTTCTGTTTATATGTGGACACCGTGTGCAGAAACCAGCACTAAGAAAAGTCTTTATGCTGCCATCTGGGAAACCTGGCACTTGGAAGCAAGTGCAGTGGCCTCGGGCAGACAGTCACATTTGGCCTTTAGCGCAGCATTGCATTTTGAATCCTCTTTGTAGAGGTAGGGAAGCACAATGTCTGGTTTCCAGACCTAGAAAAGGGGAAGCACAGGAAGTGAAGGCACACAGTGAGTCGTGACATGGGGAGAATCCAAGTCTGACTTCTGTTTCCGTGCTGTAATGACAGTGTCCTTTCCAAATCTGGGGGAAAGGTGATTTTATTATTTTTTTTTTTACTGCTGTGTGACAAAATTCTGGTATGGTATGTCCACCAAAATTTGTCTGAAGGAAAGGTAAGCATCCCTGCGACTACATCCAAAAATAGAGAGAGAAGTAATTTGGGAGTGGTGTGAATTTACACTTTGATAGAGTGCCAAGCTATGGGAGGAGAAGTCATGTAGCCAAGACTGACAAATGTAATCAGGATTCAGTGGCTCAGCTGTTTTGAGACCAGATATGGAGAACTTCTGCAGGTTGGTGAGCTCTAGAGAATTGAGCCTTTTATAATGAACTGGAGAAGCACAAAGCAGGCAAGCCATGACTGAGGCTCTCTGGCATGGAATTAAATATTTATTTTTCATAATGGAACAGCTCATTTGAAAGCTTTCAGCAGGAAATTCTGCGTTTTAAGGCTCAGCAAGGCCCTTCTTGTGGCAGCTGTGAAGCAGAATTTTATCCTGAAATTTTCAAGCAGCAGCTCAGCTCAGCTCAGCTCAGCTATTCAGTGGAAGCAGTGTGGCTCTGACAAAAACACTTGGTCTTTGCTGGCGATGAACCCAACGTCACCCGGCAGAGCAAATGATAAGAGAGTAACCAAGGAGAATTTTTCCCTTCTCAAATGCACTAGTGAAATCTTCCTGACAACTTCACAAATATGTCAGAGGAGACTGTTTTAGATTCACATCTGCCTTCTGGAGAAATCTTGGGGAATTACAGCATTTAAAGGAATGAGCAAGGCAAGGACTTTGAGAAGTACTGTTTGATCAAAGGGAGTCAAGGTGGTTTAAGGAAGCAAACATCACGCTTTAGTAGCTTCAAGTCCTTCAGGGGTATGTCTACTAGAGAATTAAACAAATAAAAATGCAGTAGATGATCTTGCCTGAGCACTTTGATTTCTGAAAAAGAGAAAACATTTGAGAGACTGTTCTGCATCACAGGTTATTAATATAAAAAGATATGAAGCTGTAGACTAAGTGGAAAGTTGGCACAGTCTACTGGAAATTGGCTATAGGGCAGGAAACAAAGGGTGGCAGTAAAAAGCTAAAAGGAGATTAATTGGTGAGTGCTGCAGGGAGTAGTGTTGGGACCCGCTTTTTATTATTTACATATAAATTACTTGGAGGGTGGTATTGAAAGATCTCGTCATTTGCCAGTGGAGCTGCTCTGGATAGCGCTGCACATAAAAAGGGACAATACAATTAAGAAGGGGTTTAATTTATTGCAGAGGCTGGGTTGATCAGTGCAGGCAACTGAATGCGGACTGTTGTTTGGTTTGGATTCTGCCTGGCAGGCAGCTTGGGAGCACCTCAGATGGCTGCAGTCTCCTGTGCCAGTTCACTGGGAATAGTTTTCACACCACAGGGACTCACATTGGCCGCCTCCTAGAAACAAAGCTGGCAAGCAGGTCTTAGTGCCTTTGCAGAGCTGGTGCCATCCTTGATCTGAGCCAAATGCAGGTTTTGTCCACTGGGTAGATCTGTTTGAGATATGAATATAAAACCTGCCCACCTGTTCTTTCACTGCTTGCCTAGAGCATTTTTCTCAGTGCTTCTGACTTCATGTAGGTGAGCAATATTGGAAAGAAATATCCAGAATGAGGAAAGGCATTAAGTGGCAAACTGCTTGATACATGTTCAGAAAGGTGTCATGGGTGACTGTGGGCCTTGGTAGTGTGCATCCAATGCTAAATTTCGGCAGAGATCTGTTAGTACCAGTCAAGAAATATCTAGTGTAACCCATCTCTTAATGTCATGGATGTTTGTGCTGTCAAGGTGGTATTGCTTCCTATTTTCTGATTGCTGACATCAAATTATAGAATCATAGAATCATAGAATGGTCTGTGTTGGAAGGTACCTCAAGGATCATCAAGCTCTAACCTCCCCACCACAGGTAGGACCACCAACCTCCACATTTAATACTAGACCAGAATGAATGAGTTAACGGGTCAGCTGCTCCACATCAAGTCAGATGGTAGTACAAGTATGGTGACCATACTGGAAGCCTTCACTGGGTGTCCTGTTGCTCCACAGATGTTAAAGAAGGATGTTTGCTGGATTGATTTGAAAGGGATTGGGAGAATCCTAGGGAGTTGGTGGCAGTGCTGAACCTGAACCTTCAACAGGCAGGAATCTTGCCTGAAGTCGACCCACATTGTTTTCTGTCACCTTGGCATTCTGCTTTCCTGAGTACCAGCCTGCTATCCATTATTGCTCACCTTGCTCTACGTTTTTCTCACTGGCACTCCTTTCTGGATGTGCTCAGTTCACAAAGCTTTTACCATTAGGAAATCCTAGCTTGTACTCAATTGTACTCAACTCATTATCTGTAAGAACAGTTGTTGTGGGATGTGGAGGTTTTGTTTTGTGTTGTTTTCAGATTTTGGGGGAGAATATGTACTCTTGGTAAAGTAATCTGCTTCTGATGTTGGCCGTGAGTGGTGCTACACCAGCGCTGAGGAAAAGGCTCTTGTGGCTAAACATATGCTTTGCCTGGGTGGGTGAGCCATGGTGGGTATATTTTTTCTAGTGACGGTGTTAGAAGCTTTTTTGTATGAGATGCTTGCTGCTGAGCAAATGCCTGAGCTGTAGCTGTGATGCTATCCAAAATACTTGCCTGTACCTAGGAGAGCTGACCAGAGTGTGCAGTGCACTTCTGGTCACTGTGGTGGCCAGCTTGCCCCTGTACCCACTAATTTTCCAGGTGCAACTCTGGGCTCTGACAGTAGAACAGAACTCCGGGAGATGGGAGCAGTGGCAACTTCTGCCTTTTGTGTAGCAGACCTGAAAGGAGTTCTGTGCTGCATATAAGGATCTCTATTCCCTCTCAATCTGAATAAGGCGATGTGCTCTAATTAAAAGAGTATCTTGCCTTAACTTTAATCTTCTCCAAAGTCCTTTCTCAGACGCTACCTTAGATAATGAAGTGAGGTTACATTTTACAAATGACCTTCTTGTGCTTTTGAGTGAAAGGCGAACAAGTGAGGATTAGCAGTGAGGTCGAGATGATTGTTTCCTCGGAGCTGCTTGCAGCCCCTTAAAATCATAATTACATTAAAAGGTCCAGGCATTTTATGTGCATTTCCTGCTCCTGAGGAGACAGTGCACCAGGAGGGAGAACAAAACAGCTCGGTGCCTGGTGGCTTGTCCCAGCACATTTGTTGCAGTCAGTGAAGGTTGGTCTATGCAGATCTTTTCCTCCTGTCTGCCTCACCAAGGTTGCCAGGCTGCTTTCAATTTGGTGTTGTTGCTGTGGTGGTTAAAGCTCTCCGTGGTGGCTGCGTGAAGGCTCCCCGCTGCTGCCTGGGATCTGCAGGGGCTGGTGGTGTGTCCACTGGAATGCAGCATGTGCTGGAAGGACAGTTATGTCCACCAAAAGGCTCACTTTAAAGCACTCCCGATGACGTATGCACATGTTTGGGCTCAGCTAGCAGTCTCTGGGTCGTCGGCCTTTGCTGCCAGCTTTCTCCATGTCTCAGGGACAGGGCCGTGGGTGGCACTGCAGGCTGGGCCTCACTCCATGCTGACAGCCATGGTCGACCTGGCTGCGGTGGTGAAGCCAGCAGGCATTGCAAGAAAACAATATTGTGAGAATACGCTTGGGGGTTCACTTCTGTGCCAATCTAGAATGGATCTCTACTCACTTTTAAGATACTCATAATTGAGCAGGTAAAGAGTTTCTGTTCATTTTGTGGAACTGTTTGCTTGCTCAGGCATAATTCCTAAGTGCAGTGCATGCTTTGGGTCTAGAGAGGCAAATGAGATGCCTTCTCCTGTGTAGACGTTTCCAAACGTGTACAATTTATTTGGCAGAGTTAAATGGATCTGGACAAATGATGAAAACAATTATTTTTGAATACTTTATTAGAAAATATCAAAAATTCATCAAATAAATTATTCAGCCTCTGTTTGACTAGCCCTGCCAGCAAGAGGGAAGAGCTCTGCATGCAGAACCAGGCTGGCTTTGATCACTGCTGGCAGCACAGAGCCATGCAGCCCAGCTCAGCAACACTTGTATCCGTTCTGACTGGGTCAGTTCAGGGCTGAGCTGAGCCGGGAGGAGCTGCAGGAGATGGATTTCAGTGCCCTGGCCAACCCCCTATCTCAGAGCCAGCTCAGCAACAATTCACAAACAGAGTTGGCAGTTTCCTCCCTCATGAATGTTTTCTTGTGTGTTTTAGGTAAGAGTCTATGACCTACTGCAGTATGAGCATGGGCCGGACGATGTTCTGATCCTAGCTACAGATGGACTCTGGGATGTGCTGTTAAATGAAGAAGTGGCAGAAGCTGTCACTAACTTCCTGCCAAACTGTGACCCTGATGATCCCCACAGGTCTGTGTTCATCCCTTGGCTTTCCAGCTTCTCTGAAATTAAGAATGCTTTTTGGTAACATATTTGTGTAGAACATATGATGTGGGTAACATTCAGCAAACTTGCATGCTTTTATACAGCAGAGAGAGTCTGTATAGCAAGTGTGTTTTTTTCTGTTATAACTCAGAAATGCCTGCCTTCAGAGGAAAGGTATGGGATCACGGTATCTTGGCACAAGATCCATTTTTTGTGCTGTAGTAGATTCTGTAGAAACCATAGGAGGTTGAAGACAGAGAAGAACATGACAACAGATCTCCAGCAGTCACAGGATTCCATCTGGCTCTCCCCTGGATAGTCTTTTAACACTGAAGAAGTTGTTTCTTGCTTGGACCTTAGCAGCATCTCTCTTCCTCTAGATGTATGGATAAATACAACACAGTGTGGGTGCTACGCATTGCAAGTCACACTGTGACCTTTGAAACTATTGTGATAGTGGATGCTCAGTGCCTGCCAGCTGCCAAACGGGTGTGGTGACAAAATAGGTGCAGAGTTTGATTCTGATTCAAGTTGCTGGATTCTGTTTATTTCAGAAGGATCCTTTTCATTTTCCTATGTTTATCTCCTCTTACTTGGTCAGCTTCTCTCTTTAAAGTACACCATCAAGCAAACAAAATCTTCCCAAACACTAACTAGAGCGCCGCAGTGGGTTGGTCTGCCTGTCTGCTGCTGAGTTCCCTGTGCCTGTCTGTCACTGCGAACTAAAGCATCATGCTGGAGATCAGAAGTCTTTCACTTCTAAAACAGAATGATGAAAGGGAAATAGCTTTATCCATCTCTAGAAAGTGTTCCAAAAGGAAAAGCCTTTCATAACGCAAGTTTGGATGGCCATGGTTGTCTTCTGCCCTCTCACTGGGCTCAGAGTATGGGAAGAGAGCCCTCAGATCACCCCAGTTGGCCTGTAAAAAGCGGAGTTTGGGAGATAAGCACTGGGATATCTCAGCAGCCAAGTGAGAAAATGTAGGACTGTTTCACTCACTTGAATGAATGTGCCAGTTTCAGTTGTTCAGATGTTGCAGCTCTTGAGGGTAAACCAGTCGCAAAATGCTTTGTGTTTTTAATTTTTCTGAGCGGGCATTTTCATGAGGTCAGCTCTGTTCTCCATCAGCAAACAAGGAAGACAACGAGTGGATACAGACACCCTGGCAGCCACTTGGGATTTACAGTGACAGGCACTGCAAAGCAAATCACAAGCAGTATGTTCTTACCGGACACTTACTCAGAAGCGTGGAATGCAAAATAACATTTTGCTGCAAGCACTCAGTTGTCAGGTGAATGGGTGACGAGCGTGAAGCTGCAACTGCAGTACTTTGACCTTCCTTCCTCCTTGCCCTGAAGAGGAGGTGGGGCACTAACGACAACCAAGGGCTTCTCTAATTCAGCAAGGCATGAAAGTTCTTCTGCCCTCCATCTGAGAGAGATCAGGCACGGCTAGCGAGGGGCACTTCCACCTGGCACTGTGCTCTGCAGATAAGCTTTTCAGTAGGAGGGGACCCACCCAATCAACTGGGTGGTAGGGAGATTTTTCTTTGAGTTCTGCACCCTGGCTGTCCTCCTGCAAAGACAGCTGGTACAGTGTAAAGCCTCTGCCTCCATTTTCATCGAGTAATTGGGAAAGGTTGGCTCATCCTACCGTCTGGCCTGGTCCTACCTGTTCATTGTGAATACAGTGTGAGTGCACTGCGTCGGTCTTGTTCCTTCTGGTGTTCCCAGCACTGGTGGTAATCAATGCTTTTGTTGCAGTAGAAATAGGAATTCTTTTTTTAATCTTTTTTGCTTGCTGGGTGAATGATCTCTCATCCATTATAAGTAAAATATCGAGAAATCAGAGACTAAAAGAAAAATATTTTCTTAGATGTAGATTTATTTGTGCTCGTTTGGCCCCAGTAAGTGTGGGAGATTAGTCCTGTTTGTAGCAGTGTAACGCACTCTAGAATTAAGCCTGATGTATTATGAGTTACAGCAAACACATTTGTTAATGTTTGACCTACAGATCTGTGAATGGACATCTGAGTTGAAAATTTATTTGTTCTTTTCAGTAACTTTGTGCCAGGTCATTTAGAGGCTTACAAATAGTGGTACCAAGACATTTCTCATACCAGCTTGCAAAAGGTAATTAGAACAGTCCCTCATATAGTTTACAGTGATATTTATGAAAATTACCTTTGTGGAATTGCTATTTGGTTATAAAGAATATTTAAAGGGTTTAAAGTACTATGTGAGAGGTTTTATATAATTACTTCAGTGGTCCAAATAAGGTATAACTAATGACTTTACAATAGCATAGCACCTCAGACTATGGAGTTGTGTTAATTCCTCTCACTAGTCAGTGACAGGAGAATTGTGTTTGCAATGTTATCAGTGTTGCATTTAGAGGAAATGTTATCCCACAGAATGTCAAGCTCTGTGATGAGTGCATCTGGAGTCTGTGATGAGGTGAGCAGCTGGGAATGTACAATCCCTAGGGATGTAGAAAACTTGTCAAAATGGAAGAGAGTTGCCCCCCTAGGCTTCATAATTCTGCAGAGTTCTGAAGAACCTACCTGTTGGAGCGGACCCTGCATCCATCTGACCCAGTAGCCTACTTATTCCCTGACAGCAGCCTACTTGGGAAAAAAAAATAAATAGGAAGATTTTAGAGCTGCAGAGCACTTACCGGTTATGTAATCAGCTCTTTGAGGGAGCAACATCCCTCCCATTTGAATTAAGAGTCGTTTTACAGCCTGATGGATAAGAGCTCATAGCCCTTGGGAAAGCCCCTGGGACTCTTTCCTGTTGATATTTACTGTCAGAACTATGAATGTTTGTTACCCACAGAAAAACATCTTTGAATCCTGTCAAATGTAACATGTGCCTGGGCATCTCCAAGTGCAGAGGGAGTGAAGCTGGTTCTGTCTTCAGCCAGCCATGCAGACACAACCCCAGGGGATCTGGGCAATGAGTGATGAGAACAGACGTGATGAGAGAGCGGTTCCTCTGTGAGGGCTGGGCAATTCTGTGGTGGAGTGAAGAAGCCGAGCTTGAGTTGGATTTCTTTGCTAGCTCAGTTCAGACAGGAGCATGAAGGGGACCCTGAGCAAAGAGAAGGGGTAATGACACGCATTACATGACAGGTGTTTTTCGTACATGTCTGCAGAAGTATGAAGATGAAGAAGAGTGTGAATGTTGACCATTTCCTTCAAGCTGCACCTGCTTACATACTGACATAGGGAATCTGCTGCTTCTCCTCCTCCCTCCCATCCTTTTTCATCCCCTCTCACACTCTCCTTCACCCTTGTGGAGATTTAAGAGGGTGCTGGGAAGCTGCTTTGCTCCTCCTGAGTGTGAGGGGATAAGAAGCTGCTCAAACTGTAGCAAGTTGCCCCCGCTGTCACCATTTCTCCTGCAGTACTTTCACTGATCAATACTGAAAGCTTGAGCAGGAGAAAATATATATATATATATTCTTAAAACACAGAAGTTGTGTTCCAGCAAGGCTGTTCATTAGGAGGAAGTGGGTACTTTAAAACTACTTCAGCAGTTCTCTAATGCTGTCTTGACAGCTGAATCCCAAGTTCACAGCGCTGGAGAATAAAAGCACTCGATAATGGACTGCTGCTGCTATTCATCTCCAGGTACACGAAACTCACCCCGTCTCAGTGCCAAGTTGCACAGCATTGCTCCAATTCAGCTCTGTGCTAGGAAAGGAATGTGTTACCTCGCTGCTGCTTTCACCTGTTCCTTCTCCTCTGCTTCAGTGTGCTGTTTTTCTTGTGTATTTCAGTCTGCCTATGAGAGATTTCTGGTTTAATCTTGCCCTATCCAAACATTAAGCAGCAAATCATTATGCAATAAAGAGCAAAATGCATTTGTACTCTTTAGATGTGGGGAGCTCTTGTTAATTAGAAAAGAAGCAATGTAAAGTTTTCTGCCAGGATGGTGGGTGTTTTGCTTCTCTTAAGTTCTGACAGTAGCTGAGAAGCCCTTGAAAAAGATGTTCTTAGCCAAAATTCTTTTAGCATTCATGCTGTGAATGAATGCTTCAGTTTCTCGCTTACCATGTGGAGTCCTTCTATTCTTTAGCCCTGCATCTGATTTGGGGATTTGGGAACTGAAGAATGCAAGTGTGTTTGGGTTTTTTTTCCCTTAGGAAACAAAGTTTTCTGTTGTTATTAGGACAGTATGACTGGTTCTTGTCACCTCCTGCTGTTATATCTCAAGGTCTTTGATGCGGATGATCTTGGAACCTGCAGAGAGCATGCACATATGTGCACAACTGTATGTGTTTGAGTTGGCGCCCTGAGTGGTGCAGAATGACCCTCAAGCCCTTCTCCAACCACTAAAAGTAAATCTCTTGTCAAAGCTAGAAGGACCTGGGAAGTTTACCACTCTTGTCTGTACCACTGGGAGCAGGTAGTGCGTTAGAAATAACCTCTGTAGAATGTTATTTGAACTTAACATCAGACCTTCTATGCAGTGAAATGTTGGTTTATTTACAGTGAATATAACTTCTTAGTAGAGAAAATAAATCTCTCTGTTGCTGATTCAAAGGAGACTTTTAAGCTTAGGAACCTAAATTGTAGCAATAGAACATAATAAACTGGGTATTTTTCACCTAGGAGAGCAAATAAAGTCTTTTTGGGTAGCAGATACATTTAATAACTCATTCTGTGGTGAAGTTTTCTGGGATTGGAACAATCCCTGGATACTCAATTAATACACACCTTTTTCTTTTTGTCCACTGCTTCTGATCAATGGAGATACTGTTCTGTCCTGTGCCTCAGGCAGATCTGGGCCGATCACTTCTGGCCCAGGATCCTCCCTAGAAAAGGGGGTCTTGAAATGCCTTTCTTGTCCTTCTTGCTTTCTGTGAATTGCAGAAGTGCCTTTCTTCTGATTATCTGGGCTTTATAGAGGGCTTTATAGAGAGCCGCTCATCCTATTAGAGGCTGATAATTAAGCTTTAAATAAAATACAGGCAGGCGCAATATTGAACTGTTGTTTTGTTTTCCTTGTGAGTCTCTTAACTGTTTGATCATTTTTTATTAGTGAACCGATAGAAAAGCTGCACTCCACCCAGCCAAATTCGAAACATCTCAGGCAGGTGTTGGGCTGAGAACTGACTGGAATAGTTGTTCATAATGAGATTTCTTTGAGCAGAAACTTCTGAATCGGCACACAGATGTGTCGATCCAGTAACAGCAGGCAGAGGGATATGGGAGAACGTATCTGATCAGTGCTGCGTTGGGATTGGAAGGGTTGCTGAATTAGGACTTACTGCTTGTTTTCACATCACTTGCTTCATTGCAGCGTCCCTCCAAAGTGAGTAGGCCCGTATTTACCTTAGGTGTTCCTGCCCACAGGCATATAGAGCTCAGTAAATGAGTGCTGTAATTTTGTGTCCTTGATTCTTCAAACCACGACTAGAAACTTAATTTGCTAAAGGAAGTGTTTTAATATGTTCTGAAAACGGGTAAAGTTGAGCACCCAAAATGACTGGTCACCTTTGACATTCGATTGCTATGAAATACCTTGAGATTCTGAGATAAAAGCTGTTAGGGAATGACAGACGATTGCTTTGTGGGAAGGTGATCATTAACATTTACGTGCTTCTCAAATGCTGAGTGACTTGTCCTTGTACCTCACAAATGTCCATCTCACAGGCTTTCCTCACAAGGCTTGCGCATGGTACCAGCTGTCTTCTGCCTTCCCCCAGGTACACGCTGGCGGCGCAGGACCTGGTGATGCGAGCCCGGGGAGTGCTGAAGGACCGGGGCTGGCGAATATCCAACGACAGGCTGGGCTCTGGAGACGACATTTCTGTCTACGTCATTCCTTTAATACATGGGAACAAGCAGTCGTGAAAGTAGCTTCGAGAGTGGTTATGGAAAGGGGATCTTTTGGGGAAGGACCTGTAAGAGACGATGTGTTTTGGATGATCTGACCAGGACGTCTCCAATTGATGTAGTCTGTTCGTAGCTAATGCTGGAGGGGTACTTTTCTGCCTGAAAGACAGGGCTCTGCACATAGACTATGTATGATTACAGATAACCCTTAAGATTACAACTCCCCTGTAGTAAAGGTTTTGGTGCTTAATGGGAATGAGATCAAAATGCTGCTAGCATATTGTGGATTCTGTCATCCCTCCAGGTGAAGACCTGAAGTAAGAATTATTTTTTTTCAGTTTGCCATGTAGCTTGGAAGAGCCATTTCAGTTGTGAAAGTAGAAGTGAGTATCAGAAGCCAAGGAGGCTCCTGAAGTCTAACCCGAAATATTCAGAGCAGTGACTTGGATCACATCTCATTTAAAAATACTTTTATACATATAAATGAGACTCAAGAGTTTTCTTCTTCCAAAAAATTGCTTTCATGACTTGCCTATGGACAACTGCAAACTGATGTAATCCTTTGAATCACCATTTCTTCCCTCTGGTCTCTTCTTCAGTAGATTATATTCCTGTATTTTAGTAGGAAAACTGAAATTGTTTTTCGTGTGACTATGCCTGTTTACTGCAGCTAGAACAGCCACCTACAAAATTGTCCAGGAGAAATAGGTCACAGTCCTGTATTACGAGATCTGTTCAGGTATGAAGAATAATTTTCAAGACTCCCTGTTGTGTGTGTACCAGAGCGAGGAAGCTTGCATTATGTGATGTTCACCTGGAGGTTCTGGTTCCTTTGGGATCAGAGATTTTCATTCTTTGAATGGTTCTGTCTGCCTTGTCCTGTTGGAAGGATCCCTGAACACACTGAACCTCAACTGAGGAAAAGTTCTACATTTATTTGGGCTCCTGAGTGTATTTTCAGCTGGATTTCTACTTGAAGTGATGGCATGGTTCTGGTTACTGGCTAAGATACTCAGGTGGTGATCTATTTAAGAATGATTTCACTTCTGGGTTCAGCATACCTTTGCCTGCTTGACTTGGTGACGAGAAGGTGACAGTTAATAACTTCACATCCTCTTGGTTGTTGAGGACTGTGGCTGAGGATCAGATGATCACTGTGATAGTTACGGCTAGCTTCATCAGCTTTTTCTTAGCAGTGCTAAGTCAGTTTAAATAAAGAAAATCCAAGGACATTGTCATAGTACAAGCAATAGTCCAAGAGAGTAACTACTGAGCAAATCCGCAGCTTGACTTGGCTGCCTGTTCTGTGGGCAGACAGCTCTTCACTTTACTGGCTGCAATTAAAAATTAAATAAATCCAAAGGTTCTCATTTATAGGAGATGTGTCAGCCGGGAAGTTGGATTCAGCCTCTGTTGTCCCAGACCTCATTCTTTTGGAGCTGCTAATCTGACTTGTTATACATAAAAGCTACTTCTTGGATAGCCAGAAGACAGGGAGCTGGGCTAACTGTGGAGCACTGATTAGGCATCTCAAAGGTGTTTTATCCTTTCTAAAGGAGAAACTGCCAGCTCTAAGAGCAGGATACTGTGTCCTTGGTGTTCCTGGAGATGTGCACTCCTGAACAAGAGTGGCCTAGAGCTTGCCAGATCTGTAATTTATAACGTGCTATATAAACAAAGTACAGTGCTGTTTGGCATAGCAGCCCAGATGCTTTATTTGATTGCATCCAAAGTACATGTGCAACATTCTCAGTGGATTTAAAATGTCCTTTCTCTAATTTCTAGACCCAGTAGGTGTTTCAGATTGAGATGAGCCAATGCAGAGTGTATAATGGCTCAGACATGCATCCAACTGAGTGATTTTAGTCTGAGAACTGTTCCATGCGTTCCCCAGTGCCTGCGTGTGATAAAGCAGTGCAGAACACTGGTGTTTTATGTTCTAGAGCTCCAGTATCAGTCATATATCTGATTAGGTGTTGCCATGCTTTATCTGTTTGCTCCTTTTTGCTTTTCCCCCTTTCCTTCTTCTTTTTTGTGCATGTGGGTGAAGAGGTTTGCAGGTTTGAAGTCTAGAGTATTTTTCACATGGTCCTACATATGTTTCAAAGTCCAACCAAGAGATCTTTTTGTGCTCTTTTTTTCTTGCTTTTTTTTTTTTAATTATTACTATTGTTTTGCCTAATAAACTTGTCAACATGCTTTTTGTGCTCTGTGTAACTCCTGTTGTCTCTTTGCAAATGCATTTGTGTAGTCCTTTCTTTAATGGGAAAACTAATGGCAATTCCTCAGAAGTCACACGAGCAGCAATGAAGCTGGTGCTTGCTGTGACCAACTTCAATCCCGAGTCAAATATTTTTGTGCCCATGTTTTGTTAGTCTTTGTTATTTAGTGTCATGGGGTCAACAAACATTCCAGTCATTAGGAAACCACTGAGTACAATGGGGTTGAAGGAATTTCCAGTGCAATGTTTGCCAAAATATAAAAGTGAAATTTTAAGGCAATGGAAATACCCTCTTTCAGAGGTGTTTTTAAACGCACCCTGAGAGTGATGGGGCAGTGAAACAACTTGGGGGGACCAAACTCACTGATAAGTTGTCAGAGCAAAACCTGGCGAGCAGTGATACGGCTCTGTGCATCAGCCTCCAGCCTGTTGTTCATCTGAGGTACTGCCATCAGTCAGCCTGCTTCCCAGCAACTGCTGTGCCCACCCTGGTCACTCCGTGTCAGCTGTGAGCCCTTCTGGAAAGGGCAGAGGTGCAGCATCAACAATTAATATCAATTAGCATCAACTGAACATTTTCAAGAGTAATAAAAAGCTTCCTACTCAGCTGTATGTGACTGAAACCGTGCAGTGATGTTTTTTGTTTTGCTTGTTTACAAAGTATCTGTTACGCATTTACAGGCTTACCTACTGTGAGTGGCTCTGGTACATCTGTGGTTCACTGCTTTGGTGCCTGGGCTTTCACTTCTGTCTGCTTTCATTTGGGGCTTCTTACATGCCTGCACTGTGCTCTGCTTCATGGCATGGTACATAGACGCACCAAGGCACGATACAAATAGGAAGCAGGAGCCATGAGTTGGGGAGATACCATGTGTGAAGCAAGGATAACAAAGCATTTCCCTTTCTCTTCATGATATGCATTATTTGAGGAGTCATAGCATTAGAAATCACTGGTGACAGAGAGGAGTTGTGACCCACAGTACGCAGCACACCTTTCACTTGGGCGTGGATGGATGTCACCATTCAGGCTTGCAGCTCCTCCACTGCTCCATGCAGCCCTTCAGTTAGGAGCAGCACCAACTCCAAAGTTTAGATCCCGGGCACATCACCTTAGTCACTGCCTGATCCTGGCAGCAGTGTGGCTTTTTGTCCAGTGAAGAAGTTCTGTTAGAACCCAATGTTGTTTCAGCATTAGCAGCAAGGAACCTCAGTCCTGGTTACCTCTATCTTAGTAGGTAGTGCTCACCATGCCAGTGTGTTGGTAGGTTATCATTTCTTGGACGAGAGCAAGGAAAGGAAGCTCTTGTCGTTCAGATCAGTGGGCAGTACTGTTAACACTGCCTTCTGGTGTCTGATGCAGTCCAATTTCTAGAAAATTAAAAGGAGCAGCTTCTGCCATTCTCCTGTGAATGCTGTTGCAGAGAGAAGTACAGCTGTGTCACAGCTTTCTGTCTCACACTACAGCCTGAAGTCATCTTTGCTTAACTTGATGAAGACAGTAGTTCGAAATTTCAGCCACATCTAAAGTGAGGCACACAACTGTCTCTTGCTAAATTAATGCAATAATGCTTCCTTTATGAACACAGAAGTCTGTTGTTTAAGAGGGCTAATTTTCAATGTCCTCATGCTGGATAGAGAAACTGGTTTTAATACGAGGAATCTGAAAGAGCGACAGGGCTGACAACTAAAGGAGAAGCAGTGCTGGTTTGCTATCAGCAGTGAATTTCCATGTCGGAGTTGCTTCCGTGTTGAAGTACAACAGGGAGGTCTGTGAGGTGTGGTAGATGCTGTGCCTCCCGGATAGTTTTGAAGAGCTAAGAACTACACTTGATGTTTTGGCTTTGAGCTTTTGGGTTTTAAAGAACACTACATGCTCCAAGCAAATCCGCTGCGTTCCTTCCTGCCTCAGCATTCCGCCTCCTTTTGTTTTTTGAAACATTTTGTGCAAACGATTTCAACACTTGTATCAAACATGAGTTGCAGACTATATGGAATTGTTGTCCTTCCAACATTCTTGGTGTGTAAATAGTTTTCCTCCATGTGTCTGAGATGAAGATGCAGTGATGTGGCTGCCATAGTCAGAGCGACCAAACAATGCTGTAACTGTGCTGCTGTATTTCTACCCGTGATGTACTTGAAGGACGATGCCCTTGTCCACCTCTACCCTCATTATTATTTTTTCTTTTCTTTTTTTCTTTTTTTTTCCTTTTTTTTTTTTTTTTTTTTGACTGTTGCTGGTGATGATGTTGTTTCATAGGTATCTTATTTTGGTTTGGTTTGTTTTTTAATAGCTGCCACTTTTTTTTCTTTCCCTCGTTGGACAAGTCATCTTATTTGCAGACCTGTAAAACTGTCCAGGTTCTGTATGTCTTGAAGAACAGCGGAGCTGCTGGAGGAAGATGTTTTGGACCAATGTACTTACGTTTTGTGACTGTGAAATGTTAATCTTTTTGTAACCTAAGAACAAAAAATGTTTGGTAAAGGGATATATTTTGTGTTTTTTGAAACTTTTCAGTGCAATGAAAAAAAAGAGGAGGATGCTGAAGAAGTGTATGCGCAAAATTTTAAATAAAATTTTAAATTATATATATACACATCTATATCTATAACCATTATTACTCTGACTACGTCATGAAGAGTACCTGAGTCTCTGTGTGTTAATAGAGCAATGCAGACCAGCAGAACACTGTTTTACCAGTGAAGGATCATAGGATCATAGAATCGTTAAGGTTGGAAGAGACCACTGAGAACATTGAGCCAACCACCAACCCACCACCAGCACACCCACCAGCCATGTCCCTCAGCGTCACACCTACACATTTATTGATATTTCCCTGGACAGTAACTCCACCACCTCCTTGGGCAGCCTGTGCCAATGTATTGCTACTCTGAGAAAAGCTTTTTCTTCATATCCAACCTGAAGCTCCCCTGGCACAAGTTTAAGTCATTCCCTTTTGTCCTATCACTCGTTACGCAGGAAAAGTCTGGCCCCACCTCATCACCACCTCTGTCAGGCAATTACAGAGTGCGATAAGGTCTCCCCTGAGCCTCCTCTTTTCCACACTGAACAATCCCAGTTCCCTCAGCCACTCCCCATAAGACTTGTGTTCCAGACCCTTCACAGCTTCACTGCCCTTCCCTAGACAAGCTCCAGGGCCTCGATGTCTTCCCTGTGGTGAGATGCTGAGCAGAAGTCTCACACTTACTTAATTCAGCAAAGTGAGTCCCCATGAGGTGTCGTAGCTTAGAGGATGGTCCTGGAAAACTCTGAGCTGTGTCCTTCTGTAAGACTTCACTGTTCAGGCTGCCAGCTGCTATGTTCTGATTCAGTAAATTGCTATGCAAAGTGGTTGGGCATCATCTCTGTGGTGTGAAAAACTGGGTGCGCATTTTGCATTCACAGTGTAGCTGCAATATGCTTTCCCTCCTCCTCAGTTTCTTAGGAACTCCTGTCTCAAATTCCCCTTTCAGTTTATATTAGAGCAAAAACCAAGGGTGAATTCATTGATTATATTGAAAGAGGTTGTCGTGGCTGGTTCAGTAACCAAAGAGGCAAGTGTAGGTACTGCAGATACAGGACCTGACACCCCAGCAGTAACCAGCCATGGGGCTGGCAAGAATAGAGCCAGGTGCTTACTGCTGTCTTCAGATGTCGTGTCATAGCACAACTAGTTGTCCCCATTCTTATTTTACTTCAAATTCAGTAGAAAAACAATGAGAACAGTTCTATGCTGCTCGTGTATGCTGTGTTTGCCCCTGGCCTTCTCTGAGCACAGCAGCATGCACAGATGAACAATTTGCTGCGCTCACTCTGGTTTTCTTTACTCTCCCATAAGCCCTACAGTTTATTGCTGCAGTCAGGCCACTGACCAAGTTTAAAATTACAGCATAAATATTCTTCAGCATGACTTTGTCTTCTCAGTGTAAGCTAAGCAAGACAGTGCCAGCAGTGTCAGGTGACCCTAACGGAGCACGGTCCACATCACACTATTGCTTTGCTTCTCTTATGCCCCACATCATCTGAGGTTATAGGTCAAGTAAAGCTTGTTTCCTTTTTTTTTTTTTTTTCTTTAGATAATAGATAAAGCTCTTCAGATGTGGACATCAGTCTATAATTCCTGTTGCAATAAGTGTGATGGCATGTTCATGCTCTTATACTGAACACACTCGGTTAACTAAAGCTATAGAAAGGAACAATCCCAGTAATTTCTTATATTTTGTATAGTTACTGTAAAATGGAGACCTGATGTTTTGTCTTCTTAATGTCACCTTGCACAGCACCTTCACAAAAACTTCACTTCTTCACAGTACTGCGCTGCAGCTTTTATTGATTCCAGAGTCACGCTCTGCTTTCCAGGAAGGCTTATGTAAACCAGAGTTACTGCACATCCTGTTCTTGTTACGAGGAAAGACGAGGGATTTCTTTTTTGAAGTCTTTCCACTTTGCAAAACAAAGGATGCCATAACTTTTTAGGGACAAAGAATGATTTGAGGAGGAATTCTGCTTTGAGGACAAGGTTAATAAAAGCTGTACGATCGAGGCAGACAAAACGCGTCTGCAGGTAGATAAAGAACAGATGACTCAGAGAGCCCCGTTTAATAATTTACGAACAATTAATCATAAATTTGAGGCTGTAGGAATGGTCTGCAGCACTGCCATGTAATACAAAGGGAGAGGAGGAAGCTGCAATAGAAAAGATAATTAGATCTTTGATGCAGCTAACTTGAGATAGATTGTTTAGATGCACTGACAAATGAGAACTCTGAACCTTCATGAATTTTAGGCTGCATAAGATCAGAATTACATCGTTTTTCTTGGACATTTCAGTGCATAATTTCACAGGCTCTAAAAAGTCAAAATGTCCCCCACCTTTACTCCTGAGCATTTACTGCCTTAAGCAATAGGAGGCGATCCTTTATGTGCTCTTCTGCAAAGACAGCACTGCAGCCAGATGCAGTGATTTGGTATCACCCCTGA